AATCGAAAAGATTACTTTCATTTTTCTCTAATGTCAAAGCCCGCTATTCTTATGTCACGAAATCTCATATTTCATCTCAAAATTTAGGATCTCTTGACTTCTGGAGAATCTTTAACAGTATCTATAATAAGGGCCAATCTTTTATTCCACCTCACTTACATGTTATTTAAAATTATGTTAAATGAAAAATTAAAAAATTAAAAAAAAAGAAAAGAAATAATAAGGAAAAATTGATAAAAATAAAAGGAGCCATAATCTGTACATCAGGCCATTTAATATTCTGATATTTATATGATGAATGCAGACTTAAGAACATAAAAATGTTTAGATAAGAATTTTTTTAAACTTTTTAATTTGAAAATTAAAAACTTGCTAATAATAAGATTAAGTTTTATTTACTTAAGATTTTTTATTACATTATTTTTGCTATGTTATTTATATTTATTAAAGTTTTTTTGTTACATTATTTTTGCTATGTTCTTTTTATTTACTAAAGATTTTTCCTTACATTATTTTTGCTATGTTATTTTCATTTACAAAAAGGTTTTTGTTACATAATTTTTGCTATGTTATAGTATTACTCAACAGCTATACCACTATTTTTCTAAAAAACATGCGTTAATTTTTGGTGGGGAGGTTTTTCTTTCATTAAATGTTACCTAACCTTAGTAGCCTTTTTTTCTTGAATAATAGTTGCTACCTTTTAAGCTATTAATATTTATAAAAAATGTGCAATCAAATCTCTAAAAATGTGCAATCTAAGCACTAAGCATCTCTAAAAATCATACCAAACTACAACACATCATTGCTCACCATGTCTGGTGAGTTATGTGTGGCAGTAAAACATTGGTTATGAAGCTTGGTAGTGTTCAGCAACTAATATAAGCAGCGGTGATTGGTTTTATTTTTTGTACAAGAAAAAAAATAGTTAGGATTATCAGAGATTTGCGATGGAATATAACGTTTTTATATATAAAAATGTTACTAAAGATATACGTGTCAAAGTTATTTATATTATTTATATTAAAACGCTTTTAAATAAGGTAATGATTTTAATTAAAGTATTATTAAAAATAATATAATTTTTTTATTTATATTATTTAATTATATAAGATTTTTTTATAAATAATAATAAAATAAGTAAAAATTTAAAAAATCAAAAAATCAAATCTTATTAGCAATGACTTTCAACAGCAAAGGTCCTTATAATAAACTTTATATAAGAATCATTGAAGTTTTTGTTGAGAAGAAAAAAAAGACAAACCTTTATGAATTTTTGAAACAAAGCTGTTTGAATTAAATAACTTTGATCTTTACTAATGTTTTTATATTATTGAAACGTATTTAAATAAAGTAACAAATCACTGCTAAAGTTTTTTTATCAAAACATTAATGAATAATATATACTTTTTTATATTTATATAAGTATTTATTTTTTATTATAAATGTTTTTAAATTTAAAAAAATATATATCAATAAACATTTCTCTAATTCGATTGCACAACTGATTTCTCAACTTCAAAAAGATGCCAATAAGGCCAATAATGAAAACAAACTAAATTTGTACTAAATAAAAATGTCTTATTTTAACTATAGCATTATCAGACCAATATTGAAAAAAGGTAGAAGAGGGAAGTGTTACTGTATATCATTGTGTGGAAATTCATTTTATAATAGCAATATAGAAAAGATTAATATTAGTCTATTTTTTTTCCCATCCAAGAGAAAAAACATGACGTTCACAAAGCTTGGTGTAACAAAATATTTTAATATAGAAGTAAAGGAGGTGCTGATAATTTTGAAATAATGAAACACACTAAAATGGGTGAGTTTCATTTTAGGTAAAATTAGTTGCAGTAAAAAATCTTTAAAAAAAAAGAAATGAAGTTCAAAGCTCGTATTCATTTAAGACAACGCAAGAAAAATTGCTTTTATACTTTATACATTACTGGATTTCATAAATAGTGAAAATGGGAAAACTGTAAGCTGTTGTCATCCGAAAAAAACAATCATTTAAAAAAGATTAAAAGTAGTTTATGAAAACTAATGTAGTTTGCTTGAAGAATATAAATAATCAACGATCACTTGAAAAATAATATTTTTAGCTACAAAAAAAAAAGATAAATGTTATAACTCATTCACTGGCATGAGAAATTTCTGGCATTTTATTTGAATATTTAAATGCTAGAGATGAATGTGAAAGTATGAAGTATTATTATTCTAAAGATCATTCTGAGGAAAAGTTACCCAAAGAATTGTTTACATATCCTTCATATTTTATATATCTGGTTATAGGTGAAACATGAAATTGATTGACCAACTATTCATGTTATCAACATGGCTTACACTTTTTTTTATCATTTTAAGTTTTACTTCCTGGTTATTTAAGACACCAAATCTGCTGTGTCAAGATCTTATTATATGGTTAAATTTGATATATCTTAAGCTCGGTGCAATACTATTTTGGTCTAATTTAAATCACTTAAAACTTAAATGTTTTAATGTTTTTAATAGAATTATCTTTAAAAAAAAGTTATTATTGACTGTTTTGAATTGATTTGTCAAAGAAATTCAGGCCTTACAGTTTAAAGTAGTTTGTTTTCCCACTATAAGCATCTTTAAAAGATCAGTTGGAAATGTTTTTTTTGG